TTCTTTCTTTCTTTTTCTCATTTATTTTAACCTCAAAAAGAAAAGATTTCATTTTCTTTCTTTCTTTTTCTCATCTATTTTAACCTCAAAAAGAATAGTTTCCATTTTCTTCATTAATTTCTTCTCATTCTTTTCCATATATCTTTCCTAACCTCAAAAAAATGCTTCCATTTTCTTCATTAATTTCTTCTCTCTCTCTCTCTCTCTCTCTCTCTCTCTCTCTCTCTTTCTCTCTCTCTCTCTCTCTCTTATCTTCTTCAAATGAAAAAAAGAAAAAGACTTTTATTTTCTTATTCGTTTATAAGTTCTTTCTCATTTCATATTAATCTCGTTTTAATGTTCTTTAAAATGTAAAAAGAAAGTATCTCTTTTCTTTTTTTTCCATTTTCCCTCTCCCTTCCCCCTTCCTACTCTCTAGCCTTTTCTCTCTCTCTCTCTCTCTCTCTCTCTCTCTCTTTTTCTCTCTATCTCTGGCTAGGTAACATTCCTGATGATGCCCTTGGAAATTGGTTGGTCGATAACCGTGTCATGGAAAGCTGGCGATGCCATGTGTAGGATTATGGCTTTTTTCCGGGTATTTGGACTCTATCTTTCTTCATTTATTTTAGTCTGCATTAGTATGGACAGGTAATTATAATAATATATTTTAATTATTATTAAGATTACACATTATGTCCAAAAATGACATATTATTGCAACAATTATTATTAATTTATCCAATAAGTTCATGCAATTCTTTTTTCTTTTTTTTTTTTTTTAACAAATAAATGGCAAAATTTACACGAACCTATTGGACACCATTTAAAATATATATTTTTCAAAATAATGAATAAAAAAAAAGAAAAACAACTTAAACGAAATTATTCAGATATCAATTATTACACTTACAACAGATATTTTCTAGACAATCATTAAATTGTCCAATAAGTTCATGTGATATTCTTTTTTCTTTTTTTTTCTTCCCATGGCAACAATTGCACGATCTTATTGGACGAACCTTAAGGGGTTACACGGGTTTACACCGGGAAAAAATAGCATATTTTCAACAATTTTTTTTTCTATATAAAAAATGGAATTCTTATTCAAACTTTTTATAGAATTTAAGATACATATTTAAAGAAGATTTTCTGAATTTTTGCTTGAAAAATATTTCAAACTCAGCCATTGCAACGTCATTTCCGGTGACCCTACTGAAAAAAAGTGTTTTCGCGTTGACTGCAGAACTTATAAACGGTGGGGGTTTTTCTGTTGAAAAAATAGGGTCTTTTAGTGAATACTTAAAACTAGAAACTGGACGAAGGAAAAAGAAAAAAATTAAAATTTGGATTTTTGGCAACGTTTTTAGCAAGAACATTTAAATTTCGCTACAATTTGCACCACATTTTGGTTTCTTAAAATTCGATTTWATGAAAAAAAMSRAAAWYCYTYSKYCMARGTCCTTGTCAATAGTATCACGAAGACGTGTAACAAATTTCATGAAAATCGGTTAAATAGTTTTCGAGAAATCTTGACAACCGACTTTAGAAAAAGCGTTTTGAGAAAAACGCGTTTAAAGATTTGAGTGCTTCTCAAGGCTCTATCTTTTAAACTACTACTCCTATCGACTTCAAAATTCAATACAATATTCTAGATGAGTTGTAGAATTTAAAAAAAATTTGTTTGAAAGTCCCAAACCCATGTAACCCCTTAAAAAAAAAAAAATTAGAAAAAAGTAATTAATAAAAACGTGAACGAAATTCTATTCAGATATTATGCAGTGATCAAACCACTTCAATTATTGCACGTAGACAGGCGTGGAAAAATTATGCTAACGATAGCGTGGTTGGGTTCGATATTTTGTTCAATACCACAGGTAAATTAAATAATCAATCTTATAATTATATTATACAAGTGTGTACATTTTGAAATTGGTCGTGAAAGATTTGTATTAACCCTTCGAGTGAATGCTAAATGATATTTTCTGCTAATGTGAACTATTTTGATAAAATAAAAGATATGAAAGAAGAATCTCGAGCTAAGAATGACCGAAAACATAATATAAGATAAGGACGCATATATGCGTCCGCAGCACTCAAAGGATTAAATAAAATGACAAATTAAAGATCGTCTTATTGTTAATATGTTATTTATAAATATAAAATCAACGTACGTTGTATTTGTCACAGATGATGGTATTTCATTTGGAAACGCATCCAAATATTACATGGTATTCTCAATGCATTACGTTCAATGCATTCCCAACTTACACGCACGAGCTTACTTATTCATTGTTCGGAATGGTTATGATGTATTGGTTTCCATTAACAATAATTATTTTTACGTATACTAGCATATTATTGGAAATTTGTAAACGTTCTAAGGAAAGCGTCGAAGGTATGATTAAATTCATATTTCAAAAATTCTTTATAAAATTTAATTAATTGATTAATTATTAAAGACAAATTCTTGTGAATAAATTAAAATTTATACAACAGGCTGTGGTAGAAAGGAATAAAACAAAAAAAAAAAAGAAAGGGTTTTGATATTTGATATTCTTAATAATAATAAATGAATACTTCAATTATACGTTTGATTAAACGTGGATCCAAAAATCAACCCTTTTTATTCGATATTAATTAATTTTCATTAATTATATCGTAAACGAATTTATTTAACAATTGTATTTTAACGCGTAATTTTTGTTAGCAAATATATTCGTTTAAAATTGTTTGTTCTAAGAACAAACGAGTGATACTCGTAAATAAGAAATTTGGGCCAGAAACATGAAGCACGAGTCTGACTCGTGGTAAGATATTTAGGCACAAAATAATAAACACGAACCTGACTCGTGATACTTCGTTCGAATCAAATATAAACGACACTAGTCAAACTAATGTTTTAATTGTTCGAAATATTATCTTACTTTTTAATTATACGTGTAATTCTTCATTACGTTCATATTTTTAGGTTAGAATTCACTTAAAGAATAAAATAATCCTTAATGACTAACATGTCAATAAAAAGAAAATCTAATATTGACGATAATAGTTTCTTGTTTATCATGACAAGGATTTAAGATTAATTTATTACGAAAATAAACCAAAAAAAAATTATTACTAGATCCACGAGTATGAAGAAAATGTCCGAATTTCGAATTGAAATAAATCAAAGTATACGAACGTATACACGTTAACAATAATAATAATTAATTTACATCTATAAAGGATTGATTTTTTGTTTATTAAGGATCTTGTTAAATTAATTATATCCATTTTGTTAACTTCACTAATTTGTTTCTCAACAAAATGTCAGACCCCTTTGATTTTGTTCTCCTACTTCCTCCTTTTTTTTTTCTTTTGTTTCTCGTCACGTCATCGTGTATTTGTGGGATAAAAATGATAATAACAATTAAACAAAAAAAAAACAAAACGAAAAGGATTATATTGCAGACAGGATACGCCGTTCGTCCTTGGTATTTCTAAGCCGTGCTAGAATACGCACATTGAAAATGACCATAATCATAGTTGCCGTTTTTTTCATCTGCTGGACACCGTACTACGTGATGAGTTTATGGTAATTTGTTTTTATTTCAATTTAGTCGAATATTAACTCGTCAACTACTACTTCTTCTTCTTCTTTCGTTTCTTTTTCTTTTTTTTTTTCTTCTTCTTCTTTTTAAACTACAATTATTTTTGTATTTAACAAAGCTGACACTTTGCTAACAACTGCAAATTAGTATTGTGTGTCTTCTACGAATTAAATTAATTGTTTATCTATATATGTGTATGTGTGTGTGTGTGACTATAATAGTATAATATTTTGTATTCATAGGTATTGGATTGACAAAACATCTGCAAGGAAAGTTGATCAAAGAGTACAAAAGGGATTATTTTTATTCGCATGCACGAATTCCTGCATGAATCCTATTGTTTATGGTGTTTTTAATATTAGGGATAAGAAAAAGGTTAGTTTACAAAAATAAATAAATAAATAAATAATTAAATATATGAACATTAAAATGTGGATTGGGATTACATGAAAAGAAGAAAAACAACAACAAAACAATCAATACAAAAATAAATAAATAAATAATTAAATATATGAAAATTAAAATGTGGATTGGGATAACATGAAAAGAAGAAGAACAACAACAACAACAACAAAACAATCAAATTGTTTTTTATTTTTTTTGTTGATCATAGGGAACAACATCCTTAACGAATAATCCTGCTAAAGGACGAGGAATATCTCACGAACAATCGAAAGATAATTGTATACCAAATACAAAAGATCGAGTAGTTGATCTTCAATTGAAAACCATAACCGGTAGTTATATTTTATCTTGACTGATAAATAACAGATTCAGAATAATCAGTATTTTATTTATTGAAAAATATACAATGTGTCTTTGAACAATAATGAAATGTTTTCTAACCGAATCAATTTTTGTCAATGTATTCATTGTCTATCAACAAATTTGAGAACAAAACAAAATATATTAAAATTATTAATGAAGAAAAAGTAGAAAAGAAAAAACAAAAATAAAACAAAAACAACAAATTGTTTTAATCATTTAATATTCTCTTTTATAAATGATACAAAGATAATTTTCCAAAAAAGATAAAACGAGAAAAGTATCAACAAAATATATTTCGATTATTATTATTAGGATTTTAATATTAAACAAAAATTCGTTCCGATGTTTGTTAATCATTATTTCCAGTGTGTTCATTCGATTAAACTTGTTTTATATATATTAAATTAATACAAATATTCGATGCGTAGAAGAGTACAAAGGGTTAAATATGGAAACACCTAATTATTCTGATTTCTATTAATTAAGAAAATTAGACGATTTATACTTAAATTATATATATGTTTAAAATATATTTATTTAAAATTGTATAAGAGTCATAATACAATAAGCATTGTTTTGGTTAAACTAAACTTATATATCTGTTTTGTACAACAATTTGTTCTCAATTTTAGCATATAAAATATGTTGACAATGATTGATGGTCGAAAAAATTTCAGACACCGTGTATAATAATATTAAATTGTTTTATTATTTGTATGAAAGCATTAGTATTCATTAAAATGTTTAAATAAACATTGTTAACATTTTTCTCATTCAAAGAATAATTTTTAATTAATTAATTAATAATTAACGAATACTGATGATACTGACATTTATATATATATATATAATATTATTTAATTATTTATCTAATACAATTAATAACATTTTAAATTTAATATTAAATATTTTATCAATCAGCTAGATACCTATGTAAATTTGAATCAAGAAAGGATCATCGAACTTTGAAGAAAATTTAACAACGAATAATACAAGAATCAATGCAATGATTTAATGAATAAGTTTTCAATCATAATACAAAAAGTAAATAATAATAATAATAATAATAATAATGGTAATGAAAAGATATTTGATTGAACGAACGAATGAATTTGTTTAAAAAAATTAATTTGAAAAAAAATATGAACTATTGTTTGAGAAAATAATAATAATAATAATAATAATAATAAAGAAAATATAATTAATTATTATTTATTATACTCTAACATATATTATATAAAAAAGTAATAGATCAAACTGGAACACTGAAAGTTGACTTTGTAGGTGGTACTACTTCCCACACACACACACACACACGCCTAACTGATACTGTTATACTTTTGCATTTAAAAAGCTTTATATGTGTGCGTGTGTGTGTGTGTGTACTTATCATTCGAGGTATAATAAATAAAGAAAAGAAAAAAAAAATAATAATAACAAAATTATAAAAGAAGAAGAAAATATAAGAAAAAGAATGTATTTGTTGTTCTTTGATATTGGATTTTCTTTTTCTTTTTTTTATTGACAAAAATTCTGAGGATCTTATCACTGGCTGAGAACGTTATCAAAATCTAATAATAAGAAGTGGAAATACCAGAATGATTTTTATGATTTAATATTGTTTTGATATCATCATCCAATTGTTCTGATTCACATCACTACTATGTACATATACATATATATATATATATATATATATATAGATATATAAAGCAGAAATATATTTTTATTAATTATAAATATTAAAGTAAGTCACACACTGGAGTATATTCATACCCATTAATAATTTAAATTTGAAATAATTATTATTTGCTTGTTTAATGCAAAGCTTGATAATTTCTTTTATATAGGAACCTATTATAGATTTTTTTTGTTAGGATTAATCAAACTTTTGAATGAATATTTTAATGTGACTAGAGAAAGATGAATATTTTATGATTTTATTATTAATAAATTGAGAGATACTTTCTTTTAATAACAAAATGTTCAAATTCTTATTAACAGAATAAAATATTAGGTTTATCAAAAATATTTGAATTAATATATAAATCTGACTTTAAAAAAGAATATTTTATTATTAATATTTTGATATTGGTTTAATTAGTAGTAACAATAATTTTTAAAGTTCTTACACACAATAATCTATTCTAGAATTAGCAAAAACTTTTTTGAATTAATTTAAATTTGATTAGAGAGAAAAATATTTTATTATATTATTGTTCTCATATATTGATACTTTCTTGTAATAATCAAATTTTTAATGTTTTTACACAGAGAAATTTACATGAGAATTATCAAACTTTTGAATTGTTATTAATCTAATTGCAGAATAATATTTTATTGTTAATATTGATATTTTTCTTGCAATAGAAATCTTCAAAATTCAATCTTTAAAATCAAAAATTGTGTGCGAATTGTGTTAATTACTAAAATTTAATGTTTTTCTCGCATGTTGTTATGCAATAATTAAACAATCAATATAAAAAACATTTTCCTAACCTTAAAAATTTGTTAATAATTACGTATTTCCAATGAATTTAATATTGTGATAAATTTATTGTATGTATGTGTGTGTGTGTGTAGAATTAAAGATATGAGCACCGATAATTGTGATAATATTTGTAAGTCAAATATTAATACAAATTTATTTTATAATTGCTTTGTGTTAAATATAAATAATTAAATCACAAAGTTAATTTTTGTTGTTTCAATTTTGTGACTTATTGTAATAATCAATTATCATAATTACCGGGGCACATATGTGTACATAAAACGTGTACATAAATGTGTACGTCCGTCCGAAAATAAATTTGTATATATTCAATATATTAAATGTAAAAAAAAGAATATATGTGTACGTACGATTTAATAAATAAAAATTCTGCAATCTTTCACACAATCGAATCTCATTGAAAAATATTATAACGATTTTCTGTGTTTTTAAATGTTGTAAATAAACACTCATGTTAATGTATTGAGTAAAATGTAGTAATAAATAAAAAA